CTGCTTTTGTTATCCAGATTTTTTATTGTTGTATCAGGTAGATAATTTTCATTTCGGGAATGATGGTAGAGAGAGACAGACAACGTGTAAATGAACGAATAGGTAGGTGTCAAAGAATATCGGGCAGACGGAAAAACATTTCTTACTTTTTGCAAGATAGCACACTACAGATTGTAAACATATGATAAGATTAAATAAATATAAATACAAAAGGGCTCCATAATGGCAGTTATAAGCTGCTCAGCTGCCCTGGGGGTAGACTGTTTGAAGCACAAGACAAGGCAACTCAAAGTGCTTTATCATACAAGGATACACATATAAATCATAAACAGATAAAAGAAAATACAAAAATAGGACATAAAAAAAAATGCAGATATAAATCTTTCTGTTGTATGTACAGTTTTTTACCCAGACTTGCCTCACAGCCTCAGGAAAACCTCCCACTAGAAGCAATACTTTACTTAAAACGTCTCTCTGTTAATGTTTTCCTAATATTTTGTCTATAAAGTTGAATCCAAATACAACATTCCTCAAATGTTGTCTGTCTCTGAGCATAAAATGAAACATAAAAGGTTTCTGGACTGCAGTGTACTGAGAGTGGTTAAAAGTATCTCAGTAGGAGGCTGGGAGCAGATGGTATTATGCGACACACTGGTGGATCTTTCATGGTCATGTCGCTGTAGTTGTGATTTTAGCGTTTAGAAGACTGGAGTGTGTTCTGTGCCTCTGATACTGACGAGTGTGAAGAATTCGGAAAAGCACCAGTCTCACTGTGCTACAAATATAACTAGTCACAGCAGTAGAACAAGCTACTTCATTGATCTTCTGCTTAAAACACTTACATCTTACAGGCCCATGTTTCCAAAAGAAAACTCAAATTGAAATATTATACTCAGTGTTATCGACATCTCCAGCAACTTTCCTACAGGGTCATCTATTTTCAAAAATACTTTATACTACTGTAATATTGTACCTGTAATTTCCTTTTAGATCTTTCGTCTGAACCTATTGACCTTCTTCTGTTTATGTCTTTATTTCTCATATAGACAAAGACTGTCTTATTTAGGTTTATTACACGGCTCCTCACAGCAGCAGTAGAACGCTCCATTGATGTGAATGCAATTTCAAAACATTCTACCGGTCATTATTTCTTGATAACTGACCTCTCAAAACAATAATGGCCGCTGCCCATGGCAACGCACCCTCTGCTTGTAATTCAGATGTGTAGATTACTCCGCAAGTAGTTCCGGCCACTCCGGAGCTAGCCACGCTCAATAAACGCAAATACCAATCAATCAACACATTTAAATGTTAATCAGAGAATACATTATACATATACAGTGCATTCTTAATACACATGCACTGAGGTTTTCAGAAGTATCTGTTAAGGTTTTCATGACAAAAAGACTGTATTAATGCGAGAAAAAGCTATCGCAAAAAACCTGGAAGTAGATTTTGGGACATTTTAGGACACATTTGCAGAGGATCAGATTATGGATTTAGGTTGAGTTTATGTTTGTGTCACTCACCGCTGATGCTCAGAATTCTTTGTTCAGTTTTCATGCAGTAACTATTTTATTTTCTGTCATTAAATGAACTGGACTGAAGTTTATTTTGTGTGTTTTGTATAATAAGCTGGATAATGTAGATTACGCAGGTCATTATCCGAAAATAAGTACCGAAAGGGCGTAGCGGACCCCGACGCGCAGCCGAGGGGTTATCCCTTCCTTAAGTATTCCTTAAATCTGGACTACCCAACTTTTTTTGTTTCATGAATACATTTCGTTTTTCCAACAAAACAAGTTTTTTTTAAGTAACATTTTGTGAACAAATCAGGCCACAACATGCTGTCTTCATCTCATTTACATACTCAGTGATTACTGGGCAGGTACTCTTTTCTTTTCTTTTTTTTAAGATGTGATGAGAAAAATACATACAGCCAGAACCAAACTATTCTGAAATCAAGGAACTAGTGACATGTTTTTGTTCATTTTTGAAAGTTAGTTAACCCAGCTTTAAATCTGTTGAATAAAGGTGCATTCAGGACAATATACTTGCTCGGCCTTTTCTCTGAACTCGCCGTGTAAGTAAAAAGTTGATATTCCGTAACTTCTAAACTTCTGACCATATATTTAACCATTTGAGACTCTCCAGCCCACTGTGCAGAGCTATATTTTATCATCAGCCTGATTAGTTTTATTTCCCAACTCTGAGCTAAATGGGAGCGGCAGTGCTTTCAAGCTCTGTGGATCCTCCTTAAGGGCAGTCACCTGGCAAAGTGGGACCGGGCTTGGGGCATTTATCCACTTAAAGACTGCCACCCCGATGATGTCAGTAACAGATGACTGCGAGACACCCTCCTCCTCGCCCAACGCTGCGCCTTTGGTCACCTGGGCAGGAGGCAGTGCGGGCAGCGGGGGCATGGGCAGATAATTATCAGTATAAATGAAGCCCTGCAAACGATGCGCACTGTTGGGTCCCCTGATCTAGTCTCCAAGGCAACCCCAACACACTCATTTGTTTTGTAGATGAGTAATTACATCCAATTAGTAGCCAGTAGAAAAAGGGGGAGTCCAAGAAAGGGCCATTGTTCTGGATAGATTGTGTGAATATTAATAATAGGGCGGTGGGTGATATGATGGGTGATAGTGGTGCAGCTGTGGGCCCGCTCTGACCGGTCCAGTCCTGTGCTGCGCATCAGGTGGACACTGATGAAAATATATGGCTGCGAGACACATGGGGGGGAGAGTGATCCAGCTGCCTGCCTCCACACACGCCAGCCACTTTGTACATGAGCCTGCCACAGCACACCTGCACCTCACAAACTGTCTGAGAAACTTAACTTTGTTTCAAGAGAAGGACAGAGTGTGCGTTTATCAGCCAGATGTGTGTTGGCATTGCACTGAGGTTTGGAAATATTTATTAAGGCAGAATTTTTTCATTTTGTTGTTGTCATGTTTTACGTATGAAAGCAAAGGGACTAGTCGTTGTTGAAAGTGTTTTCTAATTAGATAAAGGCAGCATTACGTGAGCTGATGTGTTCCTAATATCTTTTTTTTCCATAAAATATTCTGCTGAGAGAAACCATATATATGATCTATGGGAAAAAGCTTAAATTTTTATTTCAGCTCAAGTATTTAACAGCGCAGTAGCTTTTTAGAACTACAACAAATAGTTAAAGCTTCTAAGATTCTATGAAGAGCCCTGCATGAAAGCAAAACATTAGTCTAATAAACGCTTTTCTCTTTTTGTAATATTTCACAAAAATGTAAAGTACACTCCTTCAGAGTTGTGTCAAACGTATAACGTGTATTTTCTATATCATTACCTCCACATTATGCAAAATGAACTCAAACACGGAGTACAAATGTAAAGCTGCTATGTAAACAGTATCATGGCAGCTCGAGCACCGCTGACAGCCTCTGGCTCCTGCCTCTCTGCTCCTCTGAACTGACACATTTTGGATGGACGCCCCACATATTTCCAATAACACATCTTGTGAAATGTTTTTCCCCATATTATAATTATTCGATTGATCTAGTTCTCATTAGGAAGGCCAATCAAATAGCTTTGACATTTGTCTAAGTGAAGTAAATGCAATGATTGGTTCTTGAGCTTTGTTCAATGTGTCAGCCATTATGTGACGTTACGTGGGAAGCCTGCCGTATTTGGAGCCTATAATTTGATGAGTGGGCACGAGAAGATCAGAGTGGCAAAAAGCACTGGTGTAGAGAGCGACGCGGACGACTTACGTTCCATTTGGCACAAGTGGACTGCCTCGCTGTGAATGGGCGGAGGTGAAGTGCCTTTGAAAAGGCTAATGCTCGCTCCAGGAACCAAATAAAAAACACCCAATGTTATAAGGAATCTCTGCTATGGTGAAGTCAGCAGTCTGAGTCGACCGAGTAGATTAGCTGCATTATCAAAGAGGTGCAAAGAGGGAGACATTTCTTTTAATTGCACTCCTTTATATGAGCAGCTTGTCTCAGATTAACGGGACCAGCCATAAATGTCACCAGGACTTATTGCTGAATGGCATTCACTAAACTGTTGATAATCCACAATCTGTATCAAAGGAGAGGTCTGGACAAAAGGGCCAGAGAAGGACGCTGTCTGAACACTTAGGGCACTCCTCTTATCAATAAATAACAATATCTACTGGTGGTGGGGGTCAGAACAAAGGCTTTAAATGGTTTATTGATTGTTGCTGGGAGTCTCTTGGGTGCTAATTGACCGCTTTCTTCAGGAATCTCAGCCTAGATTTTAGCTTTCAAATGAGAAATATATTGAGCGAGACCTAGTGACTGTAATAATGAAAAGTGTATGTTCTTTAGGTAATTCACAAAAGGACCATTTGAGAAACCACATATCGTTTACAGTGTATCATTTGGTTTGGTGGTGCATGCTTAAAATGTGTATTCAGTAGCTTTTTTATTTTTCAAAGCTTTTCATTAGCTGTTGCACACATCGTATTAATTGGTGTAATATCACAGGAAATTATGTGACGAATTTCTGTGTGCTCTCTCCACAACAAAACACTTCAATCATCTTCAATCCTTCGGGATCAATAACGTATCTATCTTTCTATCTCTCTAGCTGTCTGCCTGTCTGTCTATCTTGTTGTATCTGATAACACAGTGTTTGTCCATGCCATATTTGAAGTAATACATGCTAATATAAGTTGATACATTCGTAACTGCTGTCATCATGTGGACTCTTGCTTTGTTAAGCTTGTTTGTGTGTTGTTTTCAAGTATACAGTTGTGCCATGCAGCTGCGCGTCACACACAGTATATATACAGGTCTAATGGGGCAGGAGCTGCTGGGGGGGAGGGCAGGGAGGGCCACATCCATGCACACTGTACACGAGGACCACGAGACCGCTCAAATTGGACTTACTTGACTTGGACTGTTCAAAATGGAAAAAAAATATAAACGTTGATTTCCCCAAATGATGGAGTCCCTCCCTCCACCTCCCCTGTACCCTACTGTATCTCCCAGGCCTCCCCGATTATGGGTTTTACTCTGCGCCCAGTGACCAGAGGGGGGGGCCGTGCTCCTTTGCCGACTATGCCTCCCTGGGCCCCCAAGCGGCTCAGATGCTGCACAGTGAGCATGCCACCTCCGCCTGCAACTCCCCCCTCCAGCACCTACACAGCCCGGATCAGTTTAAGAACCCAGGTTTGTATCTGCACACCTGCTCATCACCTCTTTGGACTCTACGTTCAACTCATGACATCTTTCTTTTATGCTTTCCTTTTTGACATTCTTTTTTGGTTGTGAAGCAAAACCACAGCATTCAATACATTACTGACAAACAGCACTGCATGTTTCTTCTTTTCATCTCTGTGTCTCAGCCCCCTGCTTGCACTTAAGGGGCTGACACAAACAGAATGTCATCTGCATGTGAACAAATATCTCTCACAGAAAATTACAGTATGTTTTACTTAGGAATCCGATTGCAGACCAAACTGTTGTCATTAGATATCCTATAGACATGCTTTATTATATTAATATTTTTGTCCTAAAGCATTTTTCCATTTGTGTATGTGTTTGTCTACTTTGTCAAACTTGCCAGCTCTCTAAAATCAATAAGGAAGACTCTATATGGGTATTACTTTATTGGCATGCATTTGCAGTAGTTTTAGATGTAGTAGGATAGTTGCATTTTTAAACGTTTAAGTTTAATAGAAACATGTTGTTTTAGTTAGAGCATAACCTCTTCACAGACACTAATATGGAAAAGTTACTAAACCTCTATAAAAAACTGACCATGACCAATCCTCTGATTGGTTGAACTTCTCTTCTTATGTACGTGCCAAGCTTTGCTACAGTAGCCTACAAGCAATAGGAGTTTTCCTTGCCTTAAGGTCAAACAGACATTATTCTTTGTTCCAATTGAGCCTCTGTTGTGCCTTTAGTCATGCGGCTGGGACTTTTGTATTTCCAGGCCATGGTTGGATTGTGGTTGCAAGTGGCTTTAAGCAGCGACCTCATTTTCACACTTAATATCAGAGTCAAATAGGTCATGTGTTTGCGACACTTTGGAGCTTGCTACAAGTTATCTTTCCCTGGACACTCATATCCACCTCAGGCTTATACACCTAAATCCTGCCAGAGCCTCTATTCAGCTGGAGCCATTGTGTCCTCACCTCCAATTCAATACCCTAATACTGAGGCAGAATATTGAAAGAGGGCTGCCCTTCACCCTTTTGGCTCTAAAAGACTGTCTGGGCTCTGTGCACCAAACAATACTGGCCATAGCGGCTCAAGGACAGGCCAGGCCCCTTCACGCTCCTAAAGTGGAGTCCAGCTGCCTCAGGCGAGCGCTGCCTTTTCAGCCGCCTGTGCCGGAGCTTACAGAGGCGTGACAACAAGATTTCAGGAGATTCAGGAAGATATCTGATGATTTTTGAGAAAGTGCTTTTAATTGCACTAGCTCCGTGTCAGCGCTGTCTGTAATGTAAGAAAGTACAGTCTATAAACACATTATTTAGTGCAAGGGCATTTGGTTATGGACTGCACTCATCACTGTGCAGCAAATAATAATACCTATACTCAAAGTTATTGCCAGGTTTGTTTTAATATCTTTCATAAAAACGGTTGCAATGTCTATTGCAAACCGAGTTGATTGTTTGTGACAGTTCAAATAAATGGATATGGCTGTATCAGGAGGGACATCCTCATGAATCATCACACAGAGGAAGCCATTAACAAGAGACAAGACACAAAATAAAATGCAGTGGCTGAGTGGTTAGCACTTTCGCTTCTCAGCACAAAGGTCCTAATCATAGTTTGTTCTCCCTGTGCTGCATAGGTTTCCTCCTCATTTTATGTTTTCTCCAACTACAGCTCTGCTCTCTCTGAGGCCAGGATTCCCCTGAAAAAGAAAAAATTCTCAAATCTCAGTGGGATTTTCCTGATTAAATCGAGGTCAATAAATCAAAGAATGAATACATATATTTGTACAAAATAGATGCTTATTATGAAGCCCTAGGTAACTACTTCATATGCCGTCGTCCCTTTCCCCAGTCTGACAATGACTGTGGATCTAGATGAAGCTGTTTTTACTCTCAGTGCCTCATTTCGCTCCATGTGCAGAGCAGCTTATCACAATAGCCCCCACATCTCAGAAGAAGCATAGTGTCTTTACACTTTCATTGTCGTTGTCATTAAGAAGTGCTTTCCAAGCGCGCATTGCTCACGTCTGTGCTCAAGCTTGGCATTAATGTAAAACGGTGACATATTTTAGAGTAATTTATAGACATTTTGGAGGACGCATACTGGCAGCTGTGCCAAATGTTCAGTATAAAGTGACATTCATTAATTCAGCCGCACCATTTTCTTTCACAGAACTTCTCCCACGAGTCGTTTTATGCGAGTCTCCTCTGTCTATTACACCCACAGTACAGTGAAGTATAGCCACAGCGCATGTATGAAATGCCGATACGCCAATCAGGTCCAATACACATGCCCTAGTTGTAAAGTTAATAACATAAGAAGCAAATTAAATTCATCTTATATTCTTGAAATTCCGAAATGGGGAGAAATTTAAGTTTGGAGCTCGCAGGTCAAAGCTTTTCCCAAATCATCTCCTTTATAGTATCTGTTCAGGCTGGATGCATTTGTTTTTTAAAGGCAAGAAAATACTGCTCGGAAGAAGAAGTGTAGTAATAAAAATCACACCATTTCAAGTGAAAAAAAAAACATAATTCTATAATAAGCCATCCGAGTGAGGGCTGTGCTGGCGAGATAAGCTCTGTTTAAAGTCCTTATAGTTTAACAATGTCAACTCTACTCGATGTGTGTTTAGCGAGACGGCTTCATTTTTTCTCGTGTACCTCACTTGAAATACGCACACAATCTGACTGTGATCGATGAGGCGGCCGTGCTTTTAAACACAGGGTGGCACGGGTAAACTTTGTCGTCTGCGTTGTTAGACACCCAAAATGAAGAGCTATCCATGCTTTAGGCCATTTTTCTCTAGAACACACACTTTTTCGATGTTTTTTCGTTTTGTCAGAGAGATGGGTTACACAAAACGCATAGAAAGATGGTAGCTAAGGTATTACGCTGGTGTGCTATATTTTTCTTGTAATGCGAGTGCTAGTGGCCTTTCAGCTGACAGGTTTGTCTAAAGACATTTTATTACAACGTTGCGCTCATAGGCCGAAGGTGCTCAGTCATTTACACTATTTCTTTTATAGTCCTCTCGATGTTGTCCCTGCATATGAAGTCAGGTCAAACTTTTATAGTCCCCTTCATGCTGTGGCGCTGCTTTATGCTGGAAGTCACACGGGCAGACTGAGCGCTGAATCACAACCCTGACAGTGTTTTCAGCCACATTATTTTTAGTAGATTGGGGCTGGTTCTTATGACTCACTGGGTCACATATGAAATAAATGAGTGTGAGCTGTGAGCAACTACTGTAGCAGCTGGAGGTAGTGAGAGGTCTTATCCCGAAAAACCTCTCCTTGGAAAGAGAGTGGGAATTTGGAGGTGGTTTTTATTATGCCATTACCAGAAATGAAAACTGAAATCTCCAAAAGTTGTATTTTTATCTTTATGATAGTGAAGTGTGTTAATAGACTAGTTTCACAGTATTCCAACATATCATTTGTTGGCTATCCCCTCTGCTCATGTTTCTCTGTGTTTTGAATATTTCTTGTAGACAGTAAAAGTTCCTCATGTAGTACCACTCATCTACCTATGCACTATTTTATTCTGTCTTGTAGAAGTAGCTCTTGAATAGAATCAGCTGGTAAATTCTGTACATTCTGCATGACAACAACGATACAATAGCACATGAGTATTAGCATGGTCAGACAATTGCTGACAGTGCCTGTTTTGTGTTATGCATGGAGCTATAAAGTGAATGAACATATAGCATGTATTTGATAGTTGGAATATCATACTGGATTCACGCTTCGCATTCTGTTGACCATTTTTTAAGACATTTTTGCAATGTTTTTTCATCTTGTTTTTCTCAACGAAAGCCAGAATCCAGTAATGTATTCTTTATAAATTTGACCAAAATAGCCAAAATCCTCTTGGGTAAGTTTGCAGTTTTTTCTGAGCTGCTGCTTGTTGCCGTGTTTTATGCAGGCTCTAACCCGTCGAGGCCCGGAGGTTTCCCAGGAGCCAATAGTCCCGGGCCCGTGGCTGACCTGTACGGCCCCAGTAGCCAGGAGCAGAACTACATCAGTGCAGCCAGCCCCCAGCCGGGCTCTGGCTTCGGCCCCAGCATCACAGTGAGTAGGACTCTCACATACCTACACTGTATCAAAGAGTCATGCTAAAAACTAATAAACATTCTGCATATGATCGTGGCCCTGTGTAAAGTGTAACATTTTAGCCTGGGTTCTTGAGCTTACTAACGATTGAATTACTTTTGTAATTAACCATAGATGTAGATTGTAGTTGTCAATCTTTCCAGAGCCATGTGATGTAATCTGACTTTTGTGTCAGTTATAACTTTGTAGCAGATTTGGTTTTGGAGGATAGTGTAAATTTCAGGTGAAAGATGGGATACTATTTGCGATTATGAAATATACAATATGACATGTGCCAGCTTTTCTAATGCTTATTTTAACACAAATTACTTGGTGCATGTAAGAGAACCGTACCGAGAACTATAGGTCGTCCTACAGTGACGGTTAAATGTACAGTATATAGGATGTATAGTGCAGTCATTAACTGGAAACTAATCTGAACTTACACAACATTATAGGCTGTGTTTCAAAATAAAAAATGCATTATTCTTCTTATGTTTTTAATTCTCAGATTTTGTCTTTCACTTGCACCTCTCAGGCTTTCTGGCGTCCTGGAAGCTCTCCTTATTTATTACTAATATTATTCAGTCAAATCAGAGAAAGTTTTGCAGCTTCCTGCTACTTACAAATGCTAATCCCTCTCGTCCTGACTCTCCTCCGTGGGACCCAGTTATTTTTAGTCCTTGACTGTAAAAAGGTGTGCGTCAGTCTTAGTCCAGGTGTCGCCGCAGGTGCAGCTTCATTTCCTTTACGCCATCAGTTTGTCGTGTCTTCAGAGTTACGGCGATCTACACCTGCGGAAAAAGGCTGCGTCCATTTTGCAGCTTAAAAATGGGCTCCACAAACTGAGATAAAAAAACAATATTAGCGATATTTAACTCTAACTTTTGGCATTTTTAGTAATTGTTTCTCATATGCAATTAAAATGTTGGATTGATGCAAATTATCTAACATAATAATACAGCAAGTTGCTATATAAAATTAAAGCATGATTTGGCACATTTAAAGATACTAACTAAAAAAATACATGCCTTATTCATTCGCTCTGTCACAGCTGCCTTGGTGTAGACTAACAGGGGGAAAAATTCTGGCAATCTGAGCTATCGGCCCCTTTGAGCAATCATTCACTCACTCCAAACTCAGCAACCTGGCTGAAGTGTCTTGCCAAAGGACACAACTACAGTGTAGCACTTCACAGTGCCACTGTGTTCCCAGAGGTCTCCCATCACAGCACTAAACAGACCCTGCACTGCTTAGCAACTGATATAAAATGTGATCAGGCTTTCAAATGTTGGTATAGCCAGATTAAGAATAAGAATAATGTTCTTTTATGGTACAGTAAATAACACTTGAATACGAGTAGTTTATATAATAGTAAGTAATAAAGTGCCCTGTCCTTGTGCCTCGTGTATGTTGTACTTGCAGCTGTAGTACATATATTTGAGTGCTCCCCCCACCACTATTTATAACCCTTAAACAACAATTGTAAGTCTGTCTCCAGTGGCTTCGGACGTTCTGTTGTTTCCAAGTGTTTGTGCGTTCGGCTCCAGCCGGAGACTCACTGAATAATTAATCCACTCTTTTACCATTTGAGTTTTATGGCCCTTAGCAAGCGGCAACAGGGCAGTTGTCCGAGCGGATGTACGAGCATGTTTGTACAGCTTTACATGAGTGAACTGAGCGAGCAGAGGGTCAGGAGACTAACTATAACTATTGTGAGACTCATTAGTATTACAAGCACATGTGAGGAGAGCCCTGTGATTCACACTCCTCCTCCTCTTCCTCTTCCTCAGCCACTAACGTTCAGCGCGTCTGCTGTTTGTGTAATGCATTCTAATTAGCTGTATTTTCTTGGCGTCTCTTTGGAGAATTGGGACATTCATCACTTTTTAGAGTACATTATATCAATCAGTGCGACTAAATGCAGCAATGAGATACTTATAGCAGCAGTTATGCATCACCAGTAGAATCAGAGACAGAGCAGATAATGTGCAAACCGCTCATTTTAATTTTCAGAGCGTCTGAGTAATTGATTTATGAGGCCTGAACAAAAGCAAAGCCAAACAGAAAACTACATTTTATTGGCTTTTTGCTTCCTAAGCAAAGCTGCTTGTATTAATTGCTTTAGGTCCACTGGCGATCTGCCATAATCTGTTGCTCTCAGTTTAGGAAGCAAAATATTTGTAATAAACGACAGCGCTGGCTCCTTTTCAAAGCTGATTTACCAGCAAATAGTTTGCCAAATAAAATGAGCTGATTTGCTTCTAATATTTTTCATCTTTTGTGGTGGATTTTGCCACATAAAAGGAACGCAAACACAATACATAATTGTGTGTGAAAGTTGAGGTTAAATGCGGTTAATAATTCGGCGTGATCATATTTATTGAGGACCAGTGTTTAAGCATAGCTCTCTCCCCTCAAATTTATTTAGTTAAATAGCTAGTCAATATATTGCATTTTTAATTATCTCTAAGCTGCCACTGCTTTTTACACGTTGTAGTCAGAAAGTGCATTTTTCACAAAAGAGCATTGCGTGCTCCGCTGTGGATTTCAGCCTCTGCCTCTCCTTCCACTGTAAATCCCAGCCGCCACTAAATCAAAGCCAGTGCAATAAAGCCCAGACAAGATGCTGCGGTCCAAGAATTGATGGCTCCATTCAACCCATTAAAACGTGGAAACAGTCAGACTCAAAACACACTTCTAATTCATATTTGCTTTGGTGTGCTCTTGTACTGAACATTTGTAAGTGGTCACATGACATACAACAAACCCATAGAAAGCCCTCAGATCCAGCGATTTGTCCTCACGCTTGGCAGCTTTTTATTAATCCCTTTAGCCAATATGAAAACAGAAGAAGAAGAAGAAGTAATGAACTCAACTGCCTTTTTCATGCCAGACAATTAGAGCGCATTAAGCTGATGGAGGTGATAAAGGCAGCTAATCGTTGTTACTAGTCTATTCACATTCGCAGGATTCAAACATCTGAAAAGCCTTTCTGATTGTCCGTGTTTGTGAGTCCTCCCCGTGCATAAGAAGTACAAGATCTGGTGTATTTGACTTTATATGGGACTATTTAAAGCATCCTTTACCAATGAGACCTCCTTCCCCGAGTCATTTATTTCCTCCTCCTGCAGTGCTTGTACTGCCTCGGGTGCCCATTATCTGCTACAAGGGTATAACACCAATCTGTAAAAATAAAGCAACAATAGTGCTCGACGGCTGATCAGAATGAATCAACAAGTACACTTCCACGCTGGCTGCAACAATTGATAAAGTACTCACTTTTCTTTTCTTTTGAAATGCATACTGACAAAAGCACTAACTGTACACTTTTAGGGCCCGTTGATTGCGACAGCTTTTACAAATGGATACCATTGAGCAGGTGGCGGGTTGCCATCTCATCAGAGGTATTGCATTTTATTTACTGTGCCTTTCTATTAGACTCTCTTGATCCTCCTAATATGTGTTCACCACATTGTTTGTTGTGGTCCATGTGGCAGAGCCGGTAGGGAGGTGCGAAAGTGACAGATGGCGCTACTCTTCACAAGTCCACAGGCCCCCGCTGATTGTCTCTGACTTATGCTTCTGTAACAAAACCAAAATGGACCTACTGAACATTTCAAGGGACTGGAGGAAGTTCTTGTTATTTTGCACAGGCTGCCAGCTCTGCCATTAAACCCAATATCAGCTTGTACACCTACTACCCCTCTCCCAGTAGCTGTGAAGTGTTTTCTACGTTCCAAGGCCTTCAAAATCAAGCATTTTTGTTTGTTTCTTCAAAAGGGAGAATGTTTCATACATTTGTGTTTAGTGTCTTCTCTTCACGGCTTGCATCGGTTGCCCTTGATGCCTGTTGTCTGTGATTCACATCGCATGCATATATGAATTATTGCACTGTATTACTTAGCACTATCTGATCATTATGAATTATTGAATTAGCATATTGGTGCATGTGCAAGAGCACAGTTACGAAATTAACGTGACGTAGAGCCTGTTGACTGCTAATTATCTCTGTTTTTTCACCCACATATCAAATATAAAGTACTGTATACGGGTCTGTGGTGAAGTGGTGGAGCTAGAATGCTTTGATTGTTCGTTTTGGAGAAGCAAACGGAAAAGAAAATCTCCATGGCGACTGTGGCGAGAAAACTACATTGACATCATTTAAAAGACAAAAGAGGAAATGTGTAATAACCCATTAGACACTCCAAAGTGTATTTCTTCACATTATTGTTAGCTTAGCCGTATCATTATCAGCTTTTATTTCATTTGTCTGGAAAAAAAGAAAGCTTGTTTGTGTTATGCTCATACCTCAACAATGTATTAGCATAAAACAAACAAGCAGCACTTTATAAAAGCAGACATAAAGATTATTTTCGGCAAACGTGATTCCACTTTTGCCGTTTTGGTTTTTCATGAAATGTACTCCTTAATTGTAAACCAATGACATCACACTTGAGATGTCACATTTTGCACCCAAAAAAACTAACTAAAGTGACAGTTTGTAATATGAACTTTTAGTATGAATAAATATCTTATCTTGTGTTGCCAGAATCTTCCTGCCAGTGACGCATGTGGTTTATTACTGATGAAATCCACCTGCTGGGGTTTAGCTAGAAACAGTACAAACTCTGTGTATTACATATGACTACTTATTTTTGTATCTGCTTTTATTAAACAGATGTGTGGTGATATTTTTTGTTTGTGAATATTGTTATTTATATAAAAATAAAAATAAAAAGCTGAAGCCAAAGACCACCACTCAGCAAACTGGCAACCCAAACGAGAGACACATATTCTGCTCTCTGATTGGATCGTAACAAAAATATTGTCTATTCTGTGCAGAAAGGGTCAAATATGAGTTGTACTATTATTATTCATTGCTAAAATTGAAATAAAAAGTACATACTGTCCCTTTTTTTCTTTCAATCATGCCAAAACATGAATCATACAAAATACACAAAATACACATAATAGAATTTCTCCGAAGCAGACGCTAAATTTGTTTTATAAGCTACATTTTGATCCGTCATGTGGAGTTTGTTTCTGTTTGTGTTTCTCCAAAAGCGTCTCTCTGTGTCCTCCGCTCCTTTACTCTGTCACTAAAAGCCTTTTTCTCTTGTGTGTGTCCAGCAGAGTCTGTCTGGTGACCCGGGAAAGACAGGACGGAGTTTCTAATTGGCTTTGTGTGCAGGTGACGCTCCTCAACTTCAAAAGCACGTCAGCGTCACTCAGGCAACAACAAAATTGAAATGAACGAACGAAAAAAAGGGGCGAAAAGCAACAGAACAACCACGCGAAGAAGGAGAGGAAAAGGCGAATGTCTGTCATCTCATGAAAAGAACAACTGCTGTACTATAATCCAGACCTCCTGTACCTTTACTCCAATACTCCTGTTGTGTTGCTAGCATTTATTAGCATTTATTATTATCTTTTCTCTTCATTTCTTTGCTTTGACTTTTTTTTTTGTAAATGTTTGAATTTTTTGAAATTTTATGAAGTGGTTTTAGCGAAGAAGACATGTTTTCGGCCTTCCCCGCAAAAAATTCAAAAATGTGGGAAAGTCTAAGAAAATTTCAAGGAGGTATCTAAGTAATAATCTTAGTAGCCATTTTGTTTCTTGTGACGTCTCATTGTTAACCATAATTACCTATTTTTGGGCAATACAAAGAGGACTTCAATATTTTTATGGTCCTTTTTTATAAGTGTTGTTTTTGTTGTTTAGAAATATATAAATATATATATATATATATGCTATAATGAAATTTCATATACTACATTGTGAATTCAAACTTGAGAAAAAGAAATGTAGCTGTACATATTATTCCAAGCCACTGCATATAACCGACTCAGTGAGAAGAATAGCATATTTTTGTGATGGTCGTGTCAAAAAGAACATGTTATAGCGTGTGAATAGATGAAAAAGCTGTAAAAAATTATTAACCTACTGTTTTTTTGTTTTCCTGCTGGAAGAACGGTATGGACTCCACAGACACACATAAACTTGTAAATAGTTGTAAACGTCATTTTGCAAGTGTCCTACCAGCAAATTTAAAAAGCAAGATTGGTCTTTTTGTCTAACTGTATCTGCGATATATAAAAAAGAATCCAAAGCACACTGTAACGAAATGGGAAGATTACAACTTGAAAAATCTTTTGCAGAACATCCTTTTCTACTCTCAAGAATTTTTGTCACATCCTGCTTGTCGTCGGAACCATTCGAATTCCTTTTCAAACTAGAATATCTAGTGTATTTGTTTTGTTTTTTTGATGAGGTTAAAACCTTTTGATGCCATACCTCAGCCTAGTGAGTTCATTCTTGGCAGGTATTAATTTATTCAATTTTTTAAACACTGAAACGGAAAGAAGCAAGATTTTCATTGCACTGTGAGTAGTCGAGTACAGGCCATTTTTATATTTGCACATTGTATATGTTGTCAAAAAACTGGCTCTGTGCGCAAAGATAGTATGAAGGATTTCTATGGGGTAAAATAATGTATTCTTGAATTGTATGGAAACAGCTAGGGGACAAAAAGTAGACCTGCAGGCATTGCCTTTAGATCTTTATAGCCACATCCTGCTCTGGGGAGATGCATATTTATACAGGGTCACACAACGAAAGTGGCTTGTGTGCTTGATAGTTTTACTATTTCAAACAACAACTATATTACTGAATGCTTTTGTCCGCTTTATACAAAATAACTTGTGGAATGAATGGTCATGATTTTAATTTTTTCATTTCAAACAACCAGGTAAAGAAATATGCTGGATACTTCTACTGGTAGAATGGAGATGGTGATCAAGTAATAATTTAAAAAAGTACTTCTAAAAAATGATGTAATGTTGAAATGTAAAAGAAAAAAATACAAAAAACTATGAAAAAAAGGAAGAAAAAAAAAAGAACGATGCTTCTTTGCTGGTTTTAATCAAAGTTTATTGATACTTTGTGGTTTATATATGAATAATTGTAAAATACTATTAAAATGTACTGTGCATCCATTGCTTTCTTCCATTCCCCGTCCCACATCCCCGATGCTTCTCCTACTCTTGTTTTGGTCACTCATGTATTCATTAGTGTGTAAAAAGAGCCAAGTTAACTTGTAAACTCAGTGCTGTCTTTGATACCAGTGTAGTGATCTATGTTGTCCCCTCTTACTCTACCTCTCCCTCCCTTTGCACCCTCCCCTATCTCCTGTAATTACAAGTAGATGTTAAATAGCACTCATTATATAATACTCGTAGTGAATAGTGGACTTAGGACCAGTCAAGATAATAGACCTTTCTCAAAACATGAGATTTGCAGACATTTTTGTTTTAATAGTTCATTGTACTTCTTTTGTCACTCCCAATGTATGTTTTTGCTCATGTGGTCACAGCTAACCAAAGCTCTCATGGATGAACAATACAAGAAAAAACTTTTGCTGTAAAGGTGGAATTGTAAACCAGGCATTATTTGGATCCCCACCCTTGAATGTTTCTAAAAAGGGGTGTGCCATGCTACCTTAAATCCTGCTAGATATGCAAGTGGACATAGTATACCGTCACCAGCAAGTTTGAGCCTCATTTACATTTCAAGCCTCCTGCGCCAGTCTGCGGGCTAATTTAAGCCAAGGTTGATTTCACGCTCACCGCCCCAAGCTAAAATCAATCCGCACTATGAAATTACAGCAAAATACATGCAGGACGCTATTAGAAATTATTGGTTGGATATTTTCCCTCAAGTGCTCCCTAGAGTCTCTCCATACTCTAAACGCTTCACAAAAACAGTGTGGAAACTCCAGCAGCACATCAACTCATGCTTTGGCCTTTCAATTTCAATTAAAGCTAATTCAGTCTCCCATCAGTTATTCCATTCACTGCACCACATGGTGTCTTTAAATCCAATCTGCTCACATTAATAAACAGCATTAGTGTCCCTGTTTATAATTCTCATTTAGTAAAAATGCAAAATGACAGTTTCAAAGATTTAGAGACCATGGCGATGATGTTGTTTTTAAAGCACTGGTGGTAATAACTGTTCAGTGTTTATAAGGTTGAACTAAACTAAGGTCAAAGAACACACTACTTAATGGCAGGATACATTTTATATTTGTATTGTCCAAGTGTACAAAGCACTGGCACTTGCTGTGAAATAATATACATATAGATAATTGCATGGTCAAATATTTACTTAGTAGCTATAGAAGTACTGATACAATAATCATTTGTTTGTCCTTTTAAAGAGACTTCCCACTTAAAAAGTTAGAATGACTATTACAATCTACACATTTAAAACATCAAATTGTCCCAAAGTCTCTCTGCTCTCCAGCACTGTTGTCCACATGGCGTCCACGCTGTGCAGTTGTAGCTGGGACTTAAGGTGGCATGGCTCTATTGCT